TTGACTAGTTTATGGAGCTCTATCATTCCAACTGAACAAACAAATAATAATAATAATCCTTGCATTTCATATAACGCCTTATCAAGTCTTTGAGATGTTTCAAAGCGCTTCACAGAATATACTGTAAAGTGAATTAACTATATTTTCTGGGCGAAATACGGAAGCCAATTGTGCACAGCAGTGTCCCACAAACAGTAGTGGATTGAAGTGACCAATTTTTTTTGAAGGAATTATTACCCCTGGAAAAAAAATCCGCCAATCGACTAACAACTGTATTCCTGCTTACTGCTAGGAACCAAATCTGGCTTGAGATGTTTTGGCTCAATAAATAATTTTGCTAATAAAATACAGTCATTACAACTTACAATGGAAGGTGCAATATCAAATGCAAGGAATATTGTCAGTATTGCTTCCTCATATTAATTTTTTTTGTGCTGTATGTAATTCAAACTTAGCTCTAATTGGTTTGGAGTTAAGCCCAATCAGAAATCAGCCTGTGGAAGGTGTCGTGTTAAATGTAAGTATGTTCAGGAGGTCTTTGGAGATCTTCGTGCTGTTGAATTAGTCATTAATAACAATGACACATTGTTCATGGTGGCTGAGCTAAAGTGTGTGTCTCATTGTATATCCTGGGAGCAAGGCACATTGAAACTAAACCTACCATTCATTCCGTGTAGTATAATTTATACACTGATATAAAATATTACTATATGTGGTAAACAAGGCTGTTTGTGGAACATTGCTGTGTGTAAATTGGCTGCTGTGCTCACCTACTAATAATCATTAAAATTTGCTTTGAGACATTTTAATGAAGTGATGAGGCACTATATCAAATACAAGGATTATTATTAGAAGAATAATCCTTGCATTTAATATAATGCTTTAACTTTAGGAGGATGCCTCAAAGCACTTCAAAGGGTTCACTGTAAACCTGTGTATTTTATGGCAGACAAGGCAGCCCACTTGCACACGGCAACATCCCACATACAGGCATGAAATAAAGGACCAACTTTAGCTGGAGGATTGTTGGCCGGGAAGTGGGGAGAAACTTTCTTCTCTTTACGAGCAGTCCAGAAAATAATAATCTAATACTAATCATTGCATTTGATTCATCCTTAGAGAGTTCTCAAAGCGCTTCATAGAAAATGCTGTAAAGTGAATTAACTGTATATATTTTGTGGGTGAAATATGGCAGCCAATTGCACACAGCAGTGTCCCACGAACCATCGAGGTTTGAGTGATCACATTTTTCAAAGTGATTATTACCCCCGGAAAAGCAATCCACCAACTGACTAAAAACCGAGTTCCTACTCACTACTAGATAAACAGGCGTGTGGAGTAAAGAAACTCGCCCAAAGTTTTGCCTTGTCCAGGAATCAAACTCAGGTCTCGCTTGCAAGGCGAGTGCTCTAACCACTGAGCTACAGGACCTCATATATTCTTCAGCCCACCCCACGGCTGATCGGCCTACTCAACCTATATCATTGCTCTTGGATGTGGGCAGCTGATTTCCCAGCCTGTATTTTGTTAAAACCGCATATTGTGGTGATAAAAACCTGTTCATTACGCTTCAACATAACTCACTGTGTGAAACACTTTGGAACATTTGATGCCATAAGAGTACTACATATCATAAGGATATCAAATATAAGTAGTAATGTTATTGGCCTAGGAGGTGAAATGGAGAACTCCGTGCAGAGAAGGAACATTAAAGGCACAATAGTTGCAGCTTCACAATCGCGTGGTGAGTTAACTCATCTCAGAGGAGATTACAATTAGCTTCAGCCCATCTGCGTTATGGAAGAGAAAATCAGTCAAAGTTTCTGGCCCAGATCTCTCTCCAGAGATTCCTGTTAGAAAGTTGTGAGGATAGGTTTGGGCTCAGCTGTGATACTCCTCTGGTCGGATTACCTGCCAGCATTCACTCAAGTCGCATATTGTGAGTAATAGTCACTTGTGTGAGGTACTGATGGGTGTAATCGAATCGTGCAACAGTAGAACAAAAAAGTAAGCCAAACACGGAGAAGAGGGTAAAAAATTAGCAGCCATAAATGTTATTTTGTATAAAATGAAGTTTATTTTAACATAATAATTGCTGTGTTTGATACAGAGCCTTACCTTGTCATTACGACTCAAAGCGCTTCACAACCATTTTCCTACAATGCATAGTGACTATATATTTGGAGATAGTAATAATAATCCTTGCTGTCTCAAATCGCTTAACAGTATATACTGTAAAAGGAATTGACTGTATGTTTTGTAGGCAAAACATGGCAGCCAATTGCGCACAGCAGTGTCCCACAAACAGTTGCGGATTGAAGTGACCAATTTATTTTTATTATTTTTTTGAAGGGATTAATATGCCCGGAAAAGCAATCTGCCAATCGATTAACAACCGGGTTCCTACTTACTGCTAGGTAAACAGAGGCATGTGGAATAAGGAAACTTGCCCAATGTTTCATCCTGCCGGGAATCGAACCCAGGTCTTCTCACTTGCGAGGCGAGTGCTCTAACCACTAGGCTATCGGACTCCATAAATAAAAATAAAGATGATATAGAATTAAAAACTGTGACAAAATGCACACATTAAAAAAAACCTTGCATTTGTTACGTTGCCTTATCATGTCAGCAAAATGTCTCGAAGTGCTTCACGTAATTTACTGTGAAGTAACTATATTCATAGGCAAACTTGGCAACCAATTTGCTCACAGAAATGTCCCCTAAACAGCCATTAAGTGAATGATTTATCTTTTCGAGGGGAGGGGAGTTGATTACTTGGAGTAACTATGAGCTATTTAATCAGAGTGAAGGAGGGAGCTTTAATTTTATCAAATCTTAAAGCATAGTGAGTCATTTGGTTCATTGAGATTGATTGTCTGTATGCACCTTGGACACATAGATTCTTCTGAATTTATTTAATCTGCTGATAGAAGTTAATAACAATAGGTGAAACTTCCAAAAAATGAAACCCTGTGACATTTCTGTCTGGCTCGCTCCCAACCATTGTAGAACAAACAGCCCAGTCTCAAGAGACCAGTTAAACATTCCAGCTCCAATTATTCAGCCCTGTTTGGTTGTATTTCTCACATGTCAGTCTTACGGTGCCAACAGAAGTGGATTTACGATGTTCTGTGAAATATTCGATCACTTTTGTTCATGCTTAAAGCCTTCTGTCTCATTCATAATCACTGATCTGGCTCATAGGAAGGTTTAGATGGTAGACGGTTAATGGAATTTTCACCCACACAATATTTAGCCAATTCACTTTAGAGAGAATTGACTATATTCTGTGAAGCACTTTGAGATGTCTCAAAGTAGTGATAAGGCGCTATATCAAATGCAAGGATTATTATTATTATCATTACAGTGTCAACTTTAAACACAATAATTATTTTACAGTTATACAGTGTTTTTTGTGTTGGGAGGATATCTCACAGAAGTAACTGGGAGCATGAACTGGTGGGTGGGTGGGTGTGGGTGTGCAAGGAACTGAGGAAAGGTGAGGAAAAGTGACCAAACATGTGGTTGAAAAGAAAGGTTATAAGGTGGGCTTTAAAGGTGGAGAAGGAGAGGACGAGATGGTGGGATACCAGGATGGAGTTTGAGAGAGGGGCCAAATTAGCTGAAATCCCGGCCAACGATGTTGGGGAGAGTTGGGCGAAGATATCACAGAACGTCACAGAGGTATGGTGGAGCAAGGCCGTAGAGGTATTTGAATTTTTATTAAGAAAGATTTTCTTTTATAAGACTCTTATAAGCTCAGCCGGCTCTGGCCTGTTCCACGTCCTCCGACCTACCCGCCCCACCATTGGCAGGAGAGCCTTCAGCCACTCTGCCCCCAACCTCTGGATTCCATCCCCCAGTCACTCTGCCTCGCCCCCTCCTTAGCCTCCTTCAAGTCCCGCCTCAAAGCCCTCCTCCTCAACTATGCCATCGGTCACCCCCCTTCCCCTCCTCTCCCTTCTCCCCCCCTGACCCCAGCTCGGGTCTGAAATGCTGTACACTGTCCAGCGCCTTGGGACATCCTCCTGACATGAAAGGCGCTATACAAATGTAATCTTGTTGCTGTTGCTGTTGTTGTTGTACCACCACTCCCTGAAACTCTGGCACATTCTCCGCCTTGTACCTTCTTTCCCCATTTTCAGGTCATGCCTGAAGACCTTCCTATTCAATTGTACCTACGGTCACTTCCCCTTNCCCCCACTCGGAGTCATATTCTGCCATTGTCAAGCGAGTTGTCGTTGTTGTGTGGAAAGTTAGCAGCATCTCTCATATAGTATGTACTGTACAACAGGGCTATGCTTCTGTAAATCAGAGTATATTGTTTATCAGTGAAGCCTTCTCTTTCTGACTATAACATAGATAACCTCCTGATGTTATAAAACCGCCTCCTTCCTATCACTTGAAAGAGTTACCTTCATAGAAGACAAAATGACATAGAATGTTACAACACAGAGACAGACCATTCAACCTAATTAGTATCCGCTGATGTTTATATTCTTTGTTTGGCGCTATACAAATGTCANTTTTTTTATTATACTCCACAAGAGTCTCCACATTGCAACTCCTGATGGTAACTGACATGTGTCATGCCAACCCCTCTCCTATCTCCTACTATTTCCTTCTCCCTCACTCATGCATCAATTTTATTCTTAATTGTTGCTTTTTGCTTCAACCACAGCTTCTGACAATGAGTTCCTCATTCACATTACCCTCTGCGTAAAGAAGATTCTCTTAAACTCCCTTTTAGATCTGTTAGTGGATGTCTTATATTAATACTCCCTTGTTCTGGACTCAACAAGTGGAAAAGGCCAATGAAGTCCATCTTATAGAACCCTTTTTAAACACCTCCATCAGGTCCCCTCCCATCTCTTCTTCAGTGAGAAAATCTCCAACCTGTCCAATCTTTCCACTAGTTGTACCCACTCATCCCTAGTTAAAGAGGCAGTAGCTGGACTTCCAAGTGGTCATGGGTGTTGCAAACAGTGTTTGCTACCTGGAGTTCTGTGGCTTAGTGGTTAGAGTACTTGCCTCCCAAGCAAGAGGGCCTGGGTTCGATTCCCGGGCAGGGTGAAATGTTAGGCAAGTTTTCTTACTCCACATGTCTCTGTTTATCTAGCTGTAAGTAGGAACCTGGTTGTTAGTTGTGATTGACAGATTGCTTTTCCGGGGGTAATAATCCCTTCAAAAAAAGTTTTTAAAAAATGTGGTCACTTAATCCACGACTGTTAGTTGGCCACTGCTATGTGCAATTAGCTGCCTTGTTTTGCCCACAAAATATACAGTCAATTTGCTTTACAGTATATCTTGTGAAGCACTTGCAGATGTCACTAAGGCATGAAAAGGCACAATATCAAATGCAAGGATTATTATTTGCTTAGAATGATGCCAAGGCACAAATAGCCACTCCTGTTGGTAACCAGACATGTGTCATGTTGGCCCATGGGGACCCCTCTCCATTGTGGCCGGGTATAGATCACAGAGCACATGGCAGTGCAGGGCAGTTCAGATCACCAGTAGGAGTCTCTATGACTTGGAGTCGCTATGAGCAAATTCAGGTCGTTATCATTCCCAGGTCAATTGTGATAGTAAACTCCCATCTTGAAACCTCCATGATGCATGCATAGATAAAGGAGAAGAGAATAGAGGATAGGGAGAGGGAATAATAATAATCCTTGTATTTGATATAACACCTTATCACGTCTTTGAGACGTCTCAAAACGCTTCACAGAATATACTGTAGAATGAATTGACCGTATATTTTGTGGGTGAAACCTGAGCAGCCAATTGCGCATAGTAGTGTCCCACAAACAGTCGTGGATTAAAGTGACCAATTTATTAGTTTTTTTTAAGGCATTATTACCCCCAGAAAAGAGATCCGTCAATCAACTAACAACCGGGTTCCTACTTGCTACTAGGTAAAGGGTGTTGGAGTATGGAGACTTGCCCAACATTTCGCTCTGCTGGGAATCGAACCCAAGTCTCTTGCTTGCGAGGCGAGTGCTCTAACCACTGAGCTACAGGACTCCACAATAAGCAGCTCATGTGGAATATAAACACCAGCATGGACTATTTGAGCCAAACAGTCTGTGCCTCAGCGTTGTAAACAACAACAACTTGAAATTTATTTTGCCCCCTTCACGCGGAGTAGCGTTCCGGGCGCTTGAAATAAAGATTCCATATATTCCAATGTAAATAAAGCTTAGCTCTAAAAACTTGTGTAATGAAAACATTAATGGTATAGTGTTCGAGATGACAGTATAACTACAGAGTTCAGCTGGTGATGCCATATTTCCAGGTTCTGATGACATCTAAACTGCAAGTGTGTTCCCACCCTGTCGATGTTCACCTTCTGTTTATGAAACAGAGCACACAACAAGTCTGCAAACACTTTCCACACCCACTGTGTTGCACGTTTCATTTCTATGGCGGGATAATTGCTAACTCGCTCGTGACTCTTTACTGATGGCTTATACTGCCAGGTTCACTTACGGAAAGCAAAAAAAAGGGAACATCTGCTCCATTTCAATTTCCAGCTGGCAATGGCAATTTTACAATAAAGCAAAACAGCATACTAACAGTGCCGTGGGGGGAGGGGATTTTCCCCCTTCAGGGAATGTTACTTTGTGATTTCCAAAATGGGAACATCAGATCATTTGTTAAAAGCAAGGTTCCACCCAAAGGCTCAAGTGGTCGATAACAGTTTCCACCTACACATTGTTGAAACAGCAATTTAATGTACTTAGTTGCTGCTGAAAGCTAATTAAGCTGCGGAAATAATGTTTCCCAATATGGCTGAGGCTTTCTAGGTATGGGAGTGTATAAGGCATGGTCTGAGTGAACATTGGCTTAGGTCTGTGTACAGAGTGTTTACCTAGCAGTAAGTAGGAACACGGTTGTTAGTTGCTTAGATTGTTAGATTGATAGATTGCTTTTCCAGGGAAACAATTCCTTCAAAAAAAAATTGGTCACTCAATCTACGACTGTTTGTGGGACACTGCTGTGCACAATTTGCTGCCTGGTTTCACCCACAAAATATAGTCAATTCATTTTACAGTATGTTCTGTGAAGCATTTTGAGACATTTCGAAGACATGATAAGGTGCTGTATCAAATGTAAGGATTATTATTATTTTTGATTATTATAGACTGTGCTGAGACATTGGTGATTGTGCTGCCCAGGGTCAATCAGGTAAGTTATTTCTATGGTTCTTTGGTATTGACCTAGGTCCTTGGATTGAGTGTGGAGCCCCTAAGAACACCAATAATAATAGGCGTTGAATTGGGAAAATACTTGTAGAGAAGCACGACAAAAAGGCTTGGGAGGAAAGACCAGTCAATTGTGTTTAGAGTTTAGGGTCAGACAACGACCTCGATTGAAACACTTGGAGCCCCACAGGATGGAAAGCACGATACGAAGTGAGCATCACCAACAGCCAAGCCAGCAGCAGCAGCTGTCTCCCTACAGCACATCTGTCCGTCCCAAACCATGACTACACAGCTTACAGTTTCCCTACCAAAACTTTTCTTATGATTTCCTTTGTACATTGACTTACATCATAGTTTCCCCTTTACCAGTTAAGGTGTCAGCTTGGCTCAATCAGTAGCACTCTCGCCTCCGGGTCACAAGGTTGCGGGTTCAAGCTTCACGTTGGGACTTTGAACTCACTTAGTCTAGACTGACACTCCAATATGGTGCAGTAGGAAGGTTGCATTATCAGAGGTTCCATCCTTTGGATGAGACATTCGCCCGAGTCAGGAGATGTTGGCAAAACACAATGCAATTGCAAGCACTTCCTTCACTGTAACATCAACCGGTTTGAGCTTTTGGACCCTTGGAGCACCAACAACATAAATAATGTAATAAAATGTACATTGACGTTTATTAAATCTTGACGTCTTGTAGATTTTAGATGATCATAAAACATTAACACGTGTTTTGATGTTCCCCGTCTTCAAAAAAATTGATGAATGCGATTTTCCAGCACGGAATTCTTATTTGCCACCCACAGAAAACATCGGAGGAGCAGCACTAAATTAAGCTCCGTTAATGTTGCCAGAACAAGTCATAGCAAGGCAGGAGGATGAATGCAAGGATTATTATTATTATTGCTGTACGCAACTGGCTGCCACAAACCACACAGTCAGTATACATTACAGTATATCCTGTGAAGCGCTTTGAGAAGTCTGAACAACATGAGAAGGCAGTACATCAAATCAAGGATGATTATTATTATTTTTATTCCCAATTACAGTACACCTCTCCTTTGAACACCTTACCTGCTGCCACCAGTCTTCAGCCACTCTGGCCCCAACCTCTGGAATTCCATCCCCCAGTCACTCCGCCTCGCTCCCTCCTTAGCCTCCTTCAAGTCCTGCCTCAAGACCCTCCTCTTCGACCATGCCATCGGCCACCCCCCTTCCCCTGCCCTCCCTTACCCCCCAACCCCAGCTCAGGTCTGAAATGCTGTACACTGTCCAGGGTCTTGGGACGTCCTCCTGACGTGAAAGGCGCTGTACAAATGTAATCTTGTTGTTGTTGTTGTACACCCTACCACAGTATGCTGGAGCTCTACCCTGTGCTACCATCTCATAGGATTTTTTAATTTGCAGTTTGCTCTGGAAAGCTGGATGTCTTATCAGCTAATTTAACGAATGTCGAGTCCGATATGAGCAAATTTGTTTGATGTAGAAAAGTATTGATTCCGTGCTTCAGCACCCAGGCTTGGAGCTGATCTTTTCATACTAATTATTTATATATGTGGCTCATACAGCAAGCATGGGGGAGGTGAATGAACGGTTACAGTTTCATCCATCAACAAAAATTTGTCATCTCTTTCCCTATATCGATAATTCAGATATTCCTTTTTTTTAATAAAAATGTTAATGTTACAAGTGGTAATTACCATTTCGCCCTTCCCCATCAGTTTGTGACAAAGAATCAATCAGGTTTGGGATCGCAGTAACGTTCTTGTTCAGAACTTGATCTCCTTCCCTGGGAAGCAAGAGCGCACTTGCCTCACAAGCGAGAGGACTTGGGTTCGATTCCTGGGCAGGGTGAAACGTTAGACAAGTTTCCTTACTCCACACCCCTATGTTTACCTAGCAGTAAATTGCTAGTCGGTTGGCAGATCGCCTTTCCGGAAGTAATAATTCCTTCCAAAATAATAATAATAATCAATTGGTCACTGAATCCATTACTGTTTGTGGGACACTGCCGTGCACAATTGGCTGCTGCGTATTGCCCACAAAATATACAGTCAATTCACTTTACAGTATATTCTGTGAAGCACATTGAGATGTCTCGAAGATGTGATAAGGCTCTATATCAAATGTAAGTATTATTATTATGAAGATGATAGAGATTCCATGTTGCTAATTGAAAGTTCCAAGAATTGGGTCTGTCTCCTTTTTTCTATGGCCAACAATTCCCCAGATTAAATTGATTATTTCCTTCATGGTTGTTTGTGGGCCACAGCAAGCTTGCTGGCCCATTTGCCTGCAAATATGTAGTAACTGGTCTATACAGAAACTTTGTCAAGAGACTTGAGACATCCTTGGTGTTAATACCGAATGTCTGTCAGACATCAACTCCTGGATGAGAGCTAACCTTTTACAGTTGAATGTCAGCAAGGCCGAGGCCGAGTTTGACACTCAACTGTCCTTTCTATCCCACATCCGTACCGTGATCCGCTCTTCCTTTCCTAAACTCCGTAACATCGCCCGGCTCCTCCACTGCCTCACCTTTCAGGCCACTGAAACCCTTATACACACATTCATCATATCCAGACTCGACTATGCCAACTCCCTGCTTGTTGGCCTGCACAACTCTTCCCTCCACAAGCTGGAGACCATCCAGAACTCTGCAGCTTGTGTGATCCCATGGGACTATTTGAAAATTGAAGGGTGTTTCTCCCAGAGTCCTGGCTAACAACCCCCTCCCACCTAAAAAAAATGATCATTCACTTCATATTTGTGCTGTGTGCCAAATTGGCTGCTGCGTTTGCCTACAAAACACACAGTCACTCCAGTTCAGAGTATGTCATGTGAAGTGCCTTGGGACGTCCTCCCAATG